ATGCTTCAAGAGACGAAATCGAACAACGAAACTAGCCAGATTCACACTAGGGGTATGAAACTGAAGGGTCCAAGCTATCATTCCCAAAGACATCCACACAACCCTCAGCATGATGAACTCGCCCGCGCTGGGACAACCGGGGCGCCGTTCCAGGTTGGCGACGTTGTCCACGATCCAACCGGCGGGCTGATCATGGCCCTTCCCGTTGGTCGCCTGGAAGGAAGTGAGAAAAGCATGGGTCGATTGAAGGGAATCCCAGGTAGATCCAGGTAACCAACCACTCCTTGGGACACATAGATGCCTACGACTGACCTCGTTTCAACCACCCCAATGGAGATATAATTACATTCACAGCTACAGCAGGGCTTTTTGGGGAATAGCAAGCCACAGCTACAGGAGAGTGGACTATCCAAAACGGTGTGACGCATCATGATCAGTATGACTTTGTTTCCGAAAGATGCTGGTAGAGCAAGGGCAAGAACCAAATTCGAGGTGCTGCAAAGGAATCCACCATCCTGCAACCTAGAATTGACATCAAAACCTCGCAAGACCAAAAATGAAACGACACATCTGTTAGAAAATCTGGAGGTGACTTCAAACATGTCCCACTGGTCATTCTCGAAGGCATGTCCGAAATCATTGTAGGAATGGAAGAACGCCTCCCATCTTGCTCTGCCCAGCTCTAGGGGTTCTGTTGCGTGCCTTTTTGTCCAGCCCAGGCACGGGCATATCCTTCAACATCTGCCTCATGCGAGAAGAAGTTCTCCAACCCCAGTACAAGCGCGTCAGCACCTGCAGTGCACCAAAGACGCCATAGGCCACAAGACCTCCGTCACAGACCCGCAAAGGAGCGACGCGGAAGCGAATTCGCAGCCACAGTTCGTTTGGACGAGCGAATTCGCAGCTACGAGTCCACCTGTGAATTCCTTCATAGTCGACCTGGGCCCCGGGAAAGTGCCAGTTTCTTGTTCGGGTCATGTCCGCTCGAGGGTTTATACCACCTCAGGGATCCAGGTACGAACATGATTTGCAAATGTGAATGAACATGGATTGGTGTAAATGAAGATCAACCCCAAAGGGATCACCACACAAGTGTATACAAGTGTGCCCAAGGACATGCTTCGTGACCCAGTGTGCCCCAAACTGAAGCATCTGAGACCAGTGGCCAAGGCAAATCCAGGTCGTATCCCTGATGCCTGACACTTGAACTATACCTAGAGACTCCAAATGCACCAAAATTTCTGCCACCTCAGCAAAAAGCGCCTTTACCCGTAATTTGCCCTGAAAAAGGGCATTCGGCGTAATTTGCTAAAACCAAGATAGACTCGGCGTTTTTGGTTTTTGAGGTTCTTGAACATATTGATTGGTTGATTAGATGCAGAACCAATCCGGGTTGTGGTGATTCATGATAACTCGGCTCGACAATCCTCTAGGGATCAAATACCTGGTGAACCGGGCATTCTTGAGGTGCGCCCTGGCTGTTCACGCCCAGTGTTTTTCTTCAGTAGTTCCTACCTCTTGCCAAGCATTGTTGGCTTAGGGATTCATGGTAAACACTCAAATCCAGCCATGGATCCGATCAAGGAAACCATTTATTCAACTCATAGAAATAGAGAAGGCCTGGCAGAAATGCCAAATGGTTTCTGTGGCCCGAGGCAACCCTCTTCCCTGATTTCCTATTAGTTATTGCAGTGGCACAAAGCTGTTGTTGAACATATTCGGTGAATGGAAAGATTTGATTCCATCACCAAGGTGAAAGTTAGTGGATTGTGCATGGACCATGCATAATTCAACATAAACTCACCGTGAACCAACCGGGCACCCTCGAGTGAAATCGTGGCAGTCAAGTTGTTCGCAGTTTTCCAAAGTTTTGTCATCCCTAGATCTCGGCGTAATTGCCCGATAATTCGGCGTAAATCTCCGATAATTCGGCGTAATTGCCCGACAATTCGCGCAATTGTCCGTAACCATGTTTTTGCTTAGTCGGGGTTTCCTATATAAGAATCAACATCTTGGATGGCTGCACTGGAAAGAACATTGTTGTTGGCCCAATAGTTGCAGCTGTTCTACAGCCACCCTTGTCAAGGGAGGTTGGATCATGAAAGGGTGAAGCGGCAACGCATTCTTTGGAGAGTGATCCGGAGAAGCAAAAACAGAACTTTGCTTGCCTGGATTGGCCTTTCAAGAAAGCCCTAGGGGAAATATCAAGAACGTCCGGAAGACAAGGCATGCACTTAGGCAAACATTGTTGGATCTTTCAAGTGTGTTCTCTGTAAGCACTCCCAAACTGTGGATTAACTATCTCTTTCCCCAGGTGCAAGGATTCCAAGGTATCCAAACTGTGGATGCCAATCCCTCGGTTCTCATATGTAAGCCCAAACTGTGGATGGTCACCCTGTGGTTTGGCTTGGGAAAGGGGCGGGGAAGGGCTTGGTAAGACTGGCAAGATCTGGCAAGTGCTGGTTTGAGAATCTAGCAAATGAAAACCATTAAAGTCGGCAGTTTTCATATTGCTCGGCGTTATTTTTTGGATTCGGCGCTTTTCGATGAATTTGGCTGAAATCAGGGCACAATGGTGCCTCGGCAAAAAATTCTGCCAACGGTTCCTCTAGGTATGAGACTCTATGGCGGAGAGCTGAAATAGATTAATGTGGGCTATATGTGTACAATCGTATTGGCACGAGGTTGAGAAGCTGCATAAAAGTATCAACCACTTCTACTCGTTTGCCAGCTCATCCAAGTAGATGACCCTTGGAATTTTGAGAGGACTCTTCACTCTTCGATCAGCCTGCAATCAATTCTAAATGCAGCCATCTTCAATCAGCTTCATCTTCTTTGAGTGTTTCCCTTTTAGTTTGCGGCAAGCATCTAACTATGTCCCCATCATCCTTATCCCACACCTAGCTGCTGTGAAGGGGACTTGTCCGAACTAGACTAGACTGCTTGAGGGCTCTGGCGCGGATCAAATCACGAAGCGACCTGACTTCTCTCTTCCGAGGCACCTCCTCCAGAACTGTGGGTGCTGCTTTCAAGCTTCAAATACTAACCCTGCAAGTCCAGAGACCCAGTAAAACCTGGTCTTTTACCTCCTTAAGTATTGGCTTTGTATGACCGTCTCCAGTAAAATGAGGTCTTTGACTTGTGGGGTAATGATTCCTGCTTTCGTGCGCTTGGTTCCGGCAGTTCGGTGTCCAAGGAGCCATTCACCAAAAGACTCTGCTTGCTTCCTTCCAGACGCTCGCGCAACCACAGCATCGGGCAGGAAAGGCGACGGGCTCGCACCCCCGCGGGCAAAAACGGCTGAGAACATCAGGTTGCATGGTGAGGTATTAATAGGTGCCTTAGGTGTTTGGAGGCCTGCGAGCATAACATCAAGGTTTTGAGCATCATGTCGATCCCTTTTGGCCTTTCCAACTGATATTCATTCCCCTATAAATTCCTCTAAAGCATCATGAACCTACGAGACTCATACTGATGCTATACTATTAAGAGGGTGCTGTGATACTCTAGAGTTTTACATGGTTTTACGATGTCTTATCAGGTTTGCTCCTACTTATCGAACCCACTGGCACTGGATGCCAAGCTAGCGAGTTCGACTGAGCTAGCGTGGTACGGTTGAGTTTGACTGACAAGCAACTGCCACACCTCAAAAGCAACTGCCACCTTCAAAAAGGTGGACGACTTGTCTTCCAATGATCGATCTTTAGGCACCCTCCCGAACCTCTCAAGTCCCCTAAATGACAGGACATCAAAAACCAGGACCACCCAAAGGGCTATTGGCAATAGGATGGGAAATATCATGTCAGGGAATTCTATAAGAAAAGCTTTGGGCGGTGCAGCTATTCACATTGTCACTCTTGAGACTCCAAATCAATCACATCGACATGAGAAACTTCTACTCCCCTGGCTCTTTCGTCATGGCACCCGGATACCGTTGACCTACCTGGTGTTGGTCTTTCGCTACATGCTGGACCGCTGAACAACTCATCCGTTTTCAGCGGTTCCTTCCGCATCGTTTTCGTTCCTGGCCGTGGCTTCGTTCCGGGCCGAAGCGAAGCGAAGCTGGGGTGCGAGCCCCACACTTGGAGAATTGAGGCTTGTAGAAGTACCTGGTGGAGAAGGAGAATCGAGAAGGTCGAAGGTCCAAGGTCGAAGGTGGAAGGAGAGTTTCCATGTGCAATCTATCTAGTAATATCTAGTATATAAGGATAATCCCCAAGAAGTGGAACCTGTACTCACCAAAGGCTCATGGACCCGAAGCAACTGCTAGATCTTTGATGTCCAAAACCATGGCTGTGAGAATGAAAACACAAAGTATATATATGAGGGTGCAGTGAGCACTTGGATACAAGGTATGTTCCGAAGCCCCTCTGGCCTCCGGCAAACTAAGTCGTTGCGGAAACGTTTACTCAACCAGCTCATCCCCTTCAGGGATGCCACCATCCTCAGCTCGCCAGCTCATCCCAGTGAATTCAGAAATCCCTCCCGGTCCCACAAAGCCTTTGTTCACAAAGCCTTTTGCGGGAAAGGCTTCAACCTCAAGAACCTCAGAAGCCCCGACCCTCCAAGTAAGCTTTCGAGGGTCATGTTCCAAAGATTTCTGTTGTGAGTCCAGTCCACTCATGCCAGGATCCAAACGAACGGGAGGTTTGGTGGTGGCACCAAACGTCCGCGACATCTCCAGCTCTTTCCAAGTACTCCTGCGTTCTGTGTCCATCTGTCGCAATGGTCGAGATACCGTTGATTTCTTCCAAAACACCTGGTATACAGCACCACCGTGAACGGGCCTCCTTGATGTGTGTTATTTCCTGCTGGGAATCTTGCGGCAGTGTTGGTTGTCATCCTGAAAACACAGTTACAAAATTTTGGCATTCAGCAACCATCACACAAAAGCAAAAACATCTTGGATGTTCCAAGTAGTTATACTTGTTCTGACTGCTAGCGCTTTAATGCATAAAAGCTTACACAAAGGTGTTTACCCACATGCATGTCAACCGTAACTGGGCAAACCTAACATATATTTCCCACAAAAAGGGATTCTCCAATAGGGAAATCACATCCGACCCACAACACCGGGTTAAACATCTCGGGATGGAAAGCATGGTGCACTTGGAGGACTCAGCACATGGAGGACTCTGCGCTTCGTTGTTGTGGATCCCCCCGGCTGAATGCGTGGAAACGTGAAACAAACCCACCGTCAAAGTGGCTGGGTTCCCTCAGTTTTCCTGGAAAAACATCGGGTTATAGTGGGGAAAGCAAACTCCGAGAAAAGGTGAAAGGCCGACCATGGTAGAGACCCAACAAAATCTTCTAACTGTGCAATACTTCTGTAATCTGCCTTTAACATCCACATCATCAACCCAAGTTTGGCAGGACATCTGCATGGAAGATCTGACTTGAAAACGACCTCCCAAACCTGATCCTGACCACATCTGACCGCACCGCGCACCGCTCCCACGACGCGCGGTCTGCGCTGCCGTCCTCCACGGAGCCGAAACACCTCACTTCGAAGCCTGCCTCGCGCATCCTGCGCCGACGTGGCCGACCCGGGGCCGGTGTGGCCGGTGACCCAGGGGGACGAGGAGCCGAAGCGAGGGTATATACAAAACCATCCCTGCAGGAAAGTACCTATGTGGCTTTTTTTAAATTGTTTCATCATAGGGCACAAAGAAAGTAAAATCCAAAACGATGGGAACAAAAACTGGTAACCATGTACTTGGCTCTGGAAGATGATCCTGGCAAAAGAAGCCCAGTTCTTCGTGTTTTTTCCCACTGGAGACTGGAGGTGTCACTATTATGGGTAGCCTTGGTGAAGCCCAAGAGGCCAACCTTGTATCTGCCACCCTCCCAAGTACCCTGGGACATGCTTCTTCAAACAACATAAAACAACCGGGTATAGGTACAGCACCCATTTTCTGAGGTTGGGCTCGTTCCAGGTCGACAGATGGACTCGGCTCACCCGGCGTTTCTGCCTATCGGTGTACTCCACGGGGTAGCCGAAGATTTCGGGCGCCACCAAATCCACTCGCACCTGGAGTCGAGGCGGAGGAGAGACTCCAAGTGGCGAACTCAACGTTGGATGCTATTTAAAGCTATATTTGCCCAATATGTCAATATGTGTCAAGTTAAACACCAAACACAAACCCACCAAGTCGCGAAGCCCACTGAGAGTCTTTCCCATTGCCCCAGCAGCCGGCCGGCCCAGCCTTCTTGAAAATCTTGAGCCCTTGGACCTACCATACGCTTCGGATCACTGCTTCGTAGCATGCGACATCACACACACCTGCCTGGACCCCTGAAAGTACCTTAGAACATGAGACATGGCCCGAACAAAAAGAACATGACTCTACTCTACCCATTGTCCGCAGAACTTTGCAAACTGTGAGACTCCAGGTATAGTCGACCTATTCGTACCTCGGAAAATGAGTCGTACAGTCGGTCAGGTCCCATATTCTAGGGTAAGAACGAGTCGTCGGGTCCAGGCGCACACACACACATTGCCATACACACACCACACCATGCGAAAAGAAATAAAACATCACATATCGAGACACTGGTCTTGCTCCAAACAAGACTGCACCCAGCCATTTTGTTCCAAACAAGACTGCACCCAGCCATTTTGTTTTTCCGGAAATGGTTCCAGAAGCTGAATGGATTTCTCAAGACCTATAGCTAGCAAACAGATTTTCACCCAGGGCCCATCAGGGCTGTTCTTTGAATGGTCCGTGGCTGGGGGTTGAACAAAAAACATCTGTATACTCTTTGTCCACCGAAGTCCCAATAGTGTCTGCCTGGCCGCCATTCTTGTACCCCAAGCCACACCTGGATATTCAGTGTACAAACCTCGCTCAATGAGTACAATACCTGCCTGCACCATCCAATGGGTGTCCAATGGACATCTCTAACTAGTCCATTGGACATCCAAACAGGACGGACCTGGTGTGATTCGTTTGGTTCATGTCTTATGTAGGGTACGAGCATGTACGAGCCCATGGTATATGTATAGAATCGTACCTGTTCTTGGGCCATTGGTGGGCCTTCCGAAGGCTAAACTACAAGATCTCTACGTACTCTAATGTCGACATAGGATTAAGTAACCACCCCCTATTAATCAATCCCAGCTCGACCCCCCCAATACTAAACTAATTTTTTTTTCTAGTATTCAATATCTTCTGGTCCATGGTGATAAGTGCACCATAAGTGCATCATAGTGCACCTGGTGCGACAGAAAACGAGGGGCACACCTGCGTTCGAAGACTTGGAACAACCAACACAGCTCCCACAAATGAAACATGTGTGACTTGGAATAAAAAACAAACGAATGCCCGAGCACCATCCCCCTCTCGCCTTGCTATGTGCGGTGCGTCCGTGCGCCAGATCCCCCACCAACGCCAAATGCACCGCCTTGCAAGCTTGATTGCCCAAAAACCAGCACTTGGACCACCAATACCACCCTCTATCCGGAAGTGTTCAAACAGATTTAAAACAATACTAAAAATGCATGTAAATGGATGTAAATTAACAAAATCACAATAAATACCGTAAATCTGAAGGTGACCTGCATATGCGAGATCAGGTAACTTTGATGTAACAGTTAGCTGTCTACCAAATGGGAACCTGGTAGTCAAGTCAAGCATGTCACTGGCGACTGTCAGACCACTTGAAATATCTTGATATATCTTGTAATGAAACCCTCAAGTGCAGATTTTGCGGCAGTTGCGGGACTTTGTGGGCCTTGAACAGGAAGGAGACTTCGTGGCAGGCGGGCTTTGTGGATCTCAGTGCAGATTTCGTGGCAGGAAACACTTTGTAAACCTTGAAGCGCAGACTTTGTGGCCGGGGCAACACTATGTGGACCTTGAAGTGAAGATTGGGCATTTCCGATCTCGCATAGAAATGTTTGTAGCAAGTGTGGCTACACCACATGCAGGAGATAGACTTGTATCGGGTATGCGTACTGCTGTGCCGGGTAAGTTCAATATATAACCTTGAGATGTGGAATGTCATCTGGGTTGAATGCAATCTCTTCTGGTAGATCATTGCGGTCCTCGTCTGAATTGATTCGGTGGTCATGGTACATAAGGTCTTGCAATGGCTCGAAGTCCTCCTCAGAAAGCACCTTACTCAAAGATTCAGCATCCTGAAAACTCTGCTGATTCCTGCCGGAGAACGAGCCATGACCAGCGTCATAAATCGTCATGCTCGGAAGCAAGCGTTGCAAGCCAGATCTGATCCCGTTCACGACACCGTTCCACGACCGTTCTTGGCGCATTCGGGTGAGATACCCGGCGTAACCCCGCTGACTCGGCCGCGAAAACCGTCTTGAACGGTAGGGCTTCTTCGTCTGCAGCCTGGGTTTTGAACCACTCATTGTCAGACGAGTTTAGTCATCAGTCAATCCTGGCCCAGACTACAGCAATGAACTCCGGGGGCTTTCTTTTCTATATATACCTCACGCCAGAACTTTAATTAATGATTGTTTATTATCGGCGATCAGTGATCATATAATGTTATATCTTAGCCTCCACAAAGTGCTGCAACTGCCACGAAATCTGCACCTCAACGTTCCCAAAGTGCTGCACCTGCCACACAATCTGCACTTCAAGGGAACGTCAACAAATAGTTGCCCTGATCATGTCACCATAATGGGCTGATCATACACTTCCCGGCCTAACTTTATTATAAATTATGACCGTGTCCCCGACTTTGAACGTGGGCCAGTGAGGGGCGGACCTCAAGTTCCAACCGGTGCAGAAAACAAAGGTAACACTGCCAGTGCCAGGAGTGCAAGAGAAATTGGTTCGAATAAACAGTTCCTGATTAGCAAGGTTGGGATGCCAGTGACGCTGAGGTAGAAAATGGACGGGGTTGGGTCGTGTCGGAGGTCTTCCGGAAAGTGAAAACTACGGGCAGCAGCAGATTGAAAAAAAATTGCAAAGTAAGGACGTAACATACTTTCATTCCATCATGCAACACCATTATGTCATGTGTTTCAAGCAAACATTGTGGAACTACAAGGGATGGAGGTGCCTTTCTTGCCAGGCCATTCCGAAAAAGCACATGGATGATGTGATTGAATTAGAGACCATCGGACCATCCGAAAGGGGAGACTGCCAAGCCCATTCCCAAAAATACTGGCCGACCTTGTCAAAAATTATGTTCAAATCAACCCATCCTGGACCCTCAAGAGTTTACTAATTTTTGAACTGTTGGGTTTGTGAACGCAAAAGGACGCAAAAAGCCGCAAACCTTGAAAAGTGGGCTGAATGTTCCAGTTGGTCCAAACGTGAAGAAATCACTGAGTGGAGGACAAGATCATATATCAAGAGCAGATTCTTCACCACTTCATGCTTGGCTTTAAGATACGCATGATCTGCATTGTACAATCACCTCTTAAGAAACACGATCGACGATAGATGTGCAAATCCATGTTTATCAATTCCGTTTACACCTGTCCATCAGTCCATCATGTCACAGATTTTGACACCTAACTTGTTGTTTTGTTGGCATATTTATTTAGATCCATCATGATCTGTCAATGAGCTGCCAAATGAAACCCCACATGCCATATGCATGTGTTTTGGTGTGGAAACAATACTAAAATATATTTCATACGTCACAACCACAAAAGAAGCGTACGCAAATATCCACTAAGAATACGCAAATATCCGCAAAAAGTACGCAAAACCCCGCAAGAGTGCACAACATTGGATTTCTTTGCAGTATCTAACTTAGCCATTTGGTGGCCTGCCATCATGAGAAGATTTGACCAAACTAGTGTGAATGCGTGCCACATATGGCAATCTCGAAGTTCCACCATATCCTGTAGGTTGACAAGTACCTAGGGTGGCAATTAGCTAGAAGTGTGCTACACACTCAAAGAGCCAAAGTCATGAAATTGTATCGTACAACTCTTGATCAACTCCTCGTATGGCTCAAAGATTCGTACATAGGTGATCATGCACCAAGCATAGATGTGCTTGTTGGTGGGAGTCATTTAAGAAAGCGTCAAGTTTTGCTTTGGAGTGTTCAGTTTTGGCTTGAATCGTTTAGATTGGCATTGAAGTGTTCCAAACGGCCCAAAAGGATAGAAATTCCAAACGTAAAGAAATTATTGCACTTTCAAGGGTTCAGGATGGGTCAATTCTAGGAACAAACTTTCTTCAATCCTAGGGTTTGGCTTTTTGAGCCCAAGGACCTGTTGTTAACCCATGAGCCCGTTTTAAACCCATGAGCATTCTTGTCTAACCCCAGTCCAAGTCTTGAGCTTCCCTGCCGAGCGGTCCCACTTGTTGTGCTCCAACAATGAAAAGATATCCACCTGAGACCCACCAATGAACACCAGCGCCAACCAAGAAAACACTTTGAAGAAACGCGCCGTTTCCAGCAGCTAACAGCTTCACTTCTACCCAGACACGACCGGGACTGGGACTGGAAAAACAAAACCGATCAGGCCAGGGTGGTGGACTTGGGGCCACGGTAGGCACAATATATGCACCAGGTGTTCCATGTGTTCCATGCAGTTGGGTGCAACTGGGACCGGCCGTAGACTCAAAACCACCCCGACCTGTGACCCCTAGGCATGTCCCAAACCAGTCGTGTCTGTGCCAGGAGAGAATGAGGGTAACTCTGGAACCCACAACGGAGAGAGCCGGACCGTCTGGCCCAGTGGAACGAATGGAAACGGTTCACGCATTCGGCGCCGGTGAAGAAGGTGGAGCTTCAGTGAAGAAGGTGAAGAAGAAGAAGGCGATGTAGGAGTTTTGATATATTTATTCCGGGGAATGGCAGCTTTGCTTGAACAAATAATATAACAAACATAACCTGTGATGTGCATGGAATTCTGCTGAGTGTTCCATTCATTTCATTCCTGATACCCTCAACAAAAAGGATCTTCACGTTCCTTCACTGGGGCGATGGCTGATGGTCCAAGGAACCAGCAAATACCTATATCAAATTTGATGTTTTTCTGTAAAGTTTGTGCGTGAAATGCATGGCATGAAACCTCCGAGAAGCACGGACCCCACTTGGATCTCACTGAGAGCCACTTGACGGACAGTTTCGGCATGTTTCGGCCGCAAGAAGCAATCACTGATAGGTTTGGTTTGGAAAGTTCTAAAGTGTTCAGCTCCCTGAAAGAGTCATGGAAGTGCAATGCAGGCCCGTGGCAGACCATTTTCCTCAACAGCGGCAAAAGCGGGTCCTGGTCAGCTTTCATGATTGTTGGAGGGTGAGTAAGAAAAGTCAACCGCAAGAGGGCATCTCTGTGAAAGTCAACTCCCCCCTCTGCACGGTATGGATCAAAACCTAAACCTTCAACTAGGTTTTGTGACGCAACCCACACAAACACGCACTTTCAACATCACACCAATTCGAACATGCTCTTGACCTAGACCCTTGTACCTGTACCTGGACCCTCCTATATCTAATTACTGTTTACTTGTACTCATTTTTGTTTCACTAACCAACAACCAAGGCTTACCCAAAAGAAAAAACGGTCGTCCACCTGGACAGCGTGGTACACCAGGTGAACTGGCCAAGAACCCCCTGCGACGCGAACTGGCCGAGCCGAGAACCCCCCACGAACTCGCCGATGGGGTGGGTAAAGAGCCCATCGCCCGCATTCACGAAGGACGGTGTAGGGACCCCCATCCTACGCTGCTGGCGCTGGCGCGGTTGACAGCGGTCCGGTTGGAAGAAGGACATGCAACCCATGGGGATCTTTGTTGTCACGATCTGAACGGAAAAAAACACCTTCTTCCACATGTCTTCCAATGGGTTGGATTAGTCCCAGTCCATCAACAAGTGGATTCCCTCTATATACTTGTCCCGCTTCGTGGTTCTTAGAACATCAAACTGAGAACTGAACTAACTATGGAGGTCCCTAAAGATCTACATACCTTCTCAGGTTCTTTAGGGCTGGACCCTCACAATGGGCTGAAAAAGAAATGTTGAACAGCTCAGAGGGTATGTGGATCCATGAGATGAAAGTGTTGACCCTCCCGAAGTCTCCAAATAGTTGTTTCATGTCGTATTTTAAGCCTTTATAAATTTAAGTTGTTTGGACTGTCGCAGGTATTGAACACCACTCACCCAAACGCAAGCAACACGTCCAATTTCAACCCAGCCCTCCACTGGAAGGAAACCCAAATAAATTCCCCATGCTGGTTCATTTGATCCCCTGGTGTGAGGTCAAGGGCCTGTAAAAGGTAACTTAAAAGGCACTCCAGAAACGATCACAAACTAACTGAGGAAGCTGGCTGAAGCATCTGAGTCCGATGTGCACTTGGACACTTGGGCCACTGTTCCACCACGAGATGAGCCTACCTGGAGTCGATCTGGTCCTGCCTCTGGTGATCCCGCAGTTGCTTCTCCAGGTAAGCTGGCCACTCCCTTTGTTCTGTTCCAACTGCTCTCGTTGAGATTTCAGCCCAGACTCGACTTCAGCTCGATGCTCCATCATCATGCCCAGGATCCACGGGGGGCCGCTGCCGCTGCTTGCTGCTTGAGCTGTGCTATCTCCTCTGTCCACCCTCACACTCTCCTTGAGCTTTTTGAAGAATTCTTCTTGTCTGGTCAGAAAGTTTGGGGCAATGCGGCTGCCATCTTCGTCTCGCGTGTACTCTTTCTTTCTTTCTCTCTCTCTCTCTTAGCCTGTCGTTGCTCCCACTGAGACTGGTGGTACTACCAGTTTTGCTACTGCTGCTGCTGCTGCTGCTGTTGTGTGTATAGTCTGCCACTGAGGCTGCTTTGCTGCGGCTACAATGTTCTGGCACTCTCTCTGGTACGTATGTGTTCTGACACATCATCTATCATAAAGGCTGGAAAAATAACTGTGTTCTGACGTCCTGTTGGCATGTAACTTGACATGTGTCCTGCCGTGAAATTTTACATGTGTTGTGACATATGATCCAACTTCCGTTCTGATGTGTTCTGGCATGTGTTCTGCCATGTCTTCGGCAACTTATTCTGCCATATTCTGCCATCAACCCTGCCACTTGTTCCGACATCCGCTCAGGCAAAAGGTTTGGCATATACAACATATATACACACATGGCAAACATACCGACATTCTAACTGACATACCTTATGACATCCTTGCTGGCATTCTACCCGGCATATATTCTGACATCCTTTCCGGCATTCTGTCCAGCATATCTTCAGGCATTATTTCGGGCAATGCTTCTGGCGTATCTCCTGACAACCGGCATTATGTCTGGCATATCTTCTGACATCCTTTCTGGCACAACATCTGAAATCCTTTCCGGCCTTCAATCCGCCGTATGCTCTGGAATTCTGGCATTCTATCTAGCATACCTTCTACCATTCTCACTGGCATGCCTTCCAGCTCATACCTTAGAAAATGGGAGATGACCCGAACATTCCAATAGTACGAGGTACGACCAGGTCTGCCAGGCAGGTCGTTCTCCCCAGGCAGTCCCAGTATAGCTCAGACCCGCAGTCCCACTCATTTGGCGACACTCTGACTGTCTCACATCACATGGAAGGATGGCATGGCCGCATGGCCCCTTGGAAGACGACTTTCCTTTACAAATAACTGGCAAATTCCACTTCTATGTGAGTGAGTTGGAGTGTATTTTTGTTGCACAAAGAGGAACCGTTGAAGGAGTACTATCGACTGACGATCCAACCCCAGAAGTCCTTCATAGCACCGAACCCAGCCACGACATGTTCTTTGACCTCCCTTTTTCTAACCACCAGGCAACAAAATCTTACAAAGCCACTGTCAGGAGGATATCCTCCTAACATGATGCCACCAAGAATTAAATACAAACATCTCTATCAACCACACATACAAAAGCAAGCAACGGGGATTTGGGGATGGGTCAAACCCTTGGAGCTCCGGTCCCATGTAAGCTTCCTTGGAGCTCCGGTGCCATTGTTTTGCGCCGTCTTCGATCGACCCAGATGGGTTTTCAGGTTGACCTCTGTTGGTTGGCTCGCGGACCTTGAAGCAACACATCTCCTATACATGCGCCTCATGGATAGTCATCCTGAAGTAAATAGAGCATGGGAAAGTCCAATTGCATCCAATAAGGAAGGGCGGGAACTGGCCATGCTTTCGAGTACTATTCATATTCGATCTACTCCAGGATGGTTGTAGTTGGGGAGCCGTTTCCCTTTGCGAGTGTGCAACTCCAAATCTCCGCTCTCCTCTTTGCATGTGCGCCCATGGCAGTTCTCAACCAGCTGCAAACGCCCTGGGGACGAATCAAAGGGTTTGAGTCAAGTCTCAGATTTGTAGTAATGCTTGGTACATATGGCCACATAGCATTTGTCTTTGCGGGGTTTTAAGGCTAATTGCCCGACAGTGCTCTGTTCAGGTGCAGACCGCATTCCCAACTCCCAACAAATCTCCCGTTGCATATCAACAACAGACATGGTTTCCATAGTTTTGCTACCTCCAGGGACAAAACCGAGTGAGCCTATATGAGCCTATGGGAGGTCAACGTCGGATCCCAGATTCTCATCATTTCGGGTCATGCAAAGGGGATCGCATAAAACCAAAACACAGTACAACAAATGCTCCACCAATCAGTCTCCCCCTGTTTGCGTTCTGTTTATGTATATATTGCCTCTCAGAGGTTGTACCAGGGGTCTGATCAACTACCAATTGTGGTCCCTGGTGCTTTGGGATGTCATGTCATCCACAGCAAACCATAAGTCTTCGGACAACCAAAACTGTCTGAAGGTCCACAGAAACTCACAGAGGAAGCACACCAAATGCAGCAAGCCCAGGCAAGCTGTCCAGGTTCCCCAGAATGAACATGAAGAAGGTCACACTAAGAAGGTGGGTTCGTGGAAGCGGGGCGTCCAAAGGATGGGATGAGAAGGATGGGATCCCCGCAACCCGCTTCTCGGATGGGAGTTGCACTCGCTGGTTCATGCACAAACACCCCAAACAGGTCACACAAGCACCCCAGGCACCCCAACATGAACATTGAAGGTGCGCTTGCGTGCGGGTTCCGGTGTCATGTTCACAGAGTATATGATCGTATAAGACTACTCAGAGGGTCTTGACCAACTTGTTTGCCATCAACATGTCCACCAATTATGCCAAGTGCGATTCCTTGCATGTCTTAACTGGCGCAAAAACTTACCGAGCTGGCACTAGCTTCCATCCAAACTTGCAAGCTCTAAGGCAACTTGCAGAAGTTGCCGTCATACTCTTAAGCTTGACATGTCCTACCAGGTCCAAATACTTGTGATCAACACCACAATAAAAGCAAAACGGAAGTGGCACGGACATAATTAATGGACATCTGCCCAAATGAGGATTGTCAAACGGAGGTGAACATGGTAAGCTCCAAGAGAATGAGTTCTCTGGAACGCGACCTCCCACCTCCCCATGATCTTCTGATGTTCGGGGGATCTTTTCCGATGGATCGAACAGTTCGAGGCTGTTTCCTCCATGGCCTTCAGATCGAATTAATGGAATCATTCCATGCAGCGAACTCCGGTCGAGCCATGACTTTACAACAAGCTTCACAAGGCCCGCCACCCCAGCTCCCTAGTGTAGCTGCCCTTCCTCTCAGGTCAGCCTCCAAAGCGCTCCGGATGACGAAGATGCTCCGTTGCGTGGAATAGACGGACAACATCTTGATGGTGTCCTCAAGCGATGTTCGAGTACTGGGCATATTGCCTGTCCCTTGACCTCATCTGGGTGGTGCAACGCTAAAACTTGCACTATATAATTAACACAAAAACACTCTGGTCAATGCTGGTTCGGCACGGTGATGGTCTCGTTCTTCTTGAAGCTAGAACTTTCCGCCTGCGCGCTTGTCCGGAGGTGGGGGCATCCAGGTGAACACAGAACCTGACGAGAACCTCCTGGGCCCGAGCCCCGTTCGTACCCTGGAAAATGACTCATGACCCTAATAGAAAACAGGCAGGACTCTACCCACCGGCCGACTCCAGGCGGTTTGCAAGCGATGTCGGTGATCTGACCGTCCAAGGCTTATATGAGAGCTCCCATTTCGAGATGACACTCCAAATCCGCCCGCACCGATGGTGCCGAAGCGGGGGCGTGATTGGGTTGGGACGTGAACACTGTGAGTTCCTAGAGCTTTATCAGGGTGGGAGGGGGGGGGCCTTTTTTCGTTTGGGAACGGAAATGCGATGAAATGTGTATCCTGTGGAAGAATACATGCAAACACAGGGGAAACGGACCGTTTTGCAACGTTTGATGTGGAGGTGGTGTGCCATATGATCTGGGACAGGACATGATGTGGTACATTTTCAGTGAAAAATATCACCCAACATCTTGAAAAAAGTCGTTTGTTTGCCTTTTCATGGACCTGGCGATGCCAATGATACAACAACAAGACATGACAGACATGAATCAGATTCATCAACTGCTTGGTACTTGTCATCTCTAGGTCATCATGCATACTGTAAAGTTTATTGTAGCCGCTCTGTTTTTGGACCCAATTTGAATGGCACATTTTTTCTGGAGGTCCAACTCTTATCCAACTCATTTTCCGAGCAACGAACTGCGACTCCAGGTATATCTGATCATATCTGATGCATGTCGGATGAGGATCTACATTTCCCAGACACTCCATGTGTGTGCCATATATGCCGATCAGTTAGGGTGGTTGACTGGGGGTCAATGGGGCGGCATATATGGCAGTCCCATGGGTCGTGTCCGGGTTTTGAACCCCCATGACGCCTCCCCGCGCCTAGCCGCCTAGCCTCCCCGCCGCCTGGAACTCGTTGACCTTCACTCCGTGGTAGACGGCCGCGTTCCGCAAGGATTCTCGGGTCCGCGTGGAGCCCTCGGGTGGCGCAATCGGGTGCATGGGAATGGGAAAGCCTTTGTTGGGATTTGGTTCAGCCTATGAGTATATATATATATATATATGGTACCCCCCTACCCCAAAACCCACCCCAAAGTTCCAAAACTGTAGACCCCATGACCTGACCTAGCCACTCTGGGGGCATAGGTCTGTGCAGTTTTGGTACTTTGGTACTTTGGGTCCCCAGGTCATGGGGTCCGCAGTTTTTGTACTTTGCTACTTTGGTAGTCGAGATAATTTAAAAGCAGGTTGTTTTTTGGGGGGGCTAGCATATATATCTTTGCTTGCCGGATGGACTACCAAAAACATCCAACACATGTTGTTCTTCACTAGTTCGGCTGGACATCAATATGTATTTCCTTCACTTGCAAACATCAGCTTGTGTCGGCCATCGGGCCTTTGTTCCACCACTCGTCATGGTCGTACTCAGTTTCGCAGTCTTGCCCGTCACTCCCCCTGCCAGCTAAACTCATTTTACTTGATACAGCTGTGGGTCGTGGCACCAGGATACCATCCTTTTTCATTCCAACGACCTACCTGGTGGACCGCTCGGAAACACTACATGGTGCACGACCGTCGGGCGGGCTTCAGGTCGAACGACCCATGCTGGTCGGTCGAACGCATGAGTCACCAATGGCTGAACAAAAACTCATGCATCACATCAACCTTACAAAAACACGCATATATATATATATATAAGACATATTAAAACATGCAGTATAACTGCAAAACAACTCTTGACAAAGACTTGGATATTCCAATCACACAAACGGCCTCTCTAGCGAGAGGCTCGGCCAACCACAGCTTGAAGTAAGTTGGTAGAAACAACCTTGACCACAAGCAAAGGCAAAACTTTAATGCTGTTCAAACATGACTTGAACTTGATCAATCCTATGACACTTGACTTGTTGGCGCGGTGCTTGGCACAGGTGCTGAAGGCTACAGTCTACAGGTCTGATAGCACATACCTAGTTCCAGTTTAGAAAGCTGATCAACCATTCCACAGTACCATCAACCATGTTTGAACGTTAGTACGGATGCCTCTCGATCGGTCGCATCGCTCTGTGCAGCCAATGTGTCCAGCAACATGTGGACAAAAAAACACATAACGTCACTCAAAGAATCTGGATATTCAAAGTGGACAAACAGTTAGACACATTCTGAAACTACAATAATAACTATGCACACATTGGGATCATTTGGGTAATCTTAAGGCTTTGTTCTGAGCGTGGGTTTGGGGGGATGGTCAATTCTCAAAGTTTGCAAATGCCACTGAGCACGTCCTAATTGATCTGTCTGTTAAACCCTGTTCTGTTGGTGTGATTAGATCTGTTGTTCTTTTCTGCAGGTGCTACGGGATCAGAAGCAAATGATGTGGAAACTCAAGAACAAAATACATGTGCCGAGAAACACGCAACAAACCATAAATGTCCATGACCATAAATACTGAGGATATACAGTACATATATATATATAGATGCCGTCCCAAAATGCCCCCAAAGAATTAAAAGACCATAAATCCGATGAACAATCAATCAAATCGAGATGTTTGGTGACCATCATCCCCTAGAATCAATAGAATCCGATGACCATTCTATCCCCAGAATCGATGTTTGGTGCCTCCATAAAGATGAGGTAGACCGTGGAGTCCGGATTATCCACACGCTCTTCCACATCAGCGTCGACCACCTGGCGCAGTGAAGTGCGAGGTGGTCGCATCGCTTTTAGGTACGAACTGGACCATCATGACCGACTCTGGCGCAGAACTTGAACATAACTTAGTGAAATAAAGGACATGACCATCATATACCATCATGACCAAACAAGAAACAGGTAAATATATACTCAGTACAAGTACTAACCCTATTTTCTGAGGTACGAACGGGTCGACTCCAGGTACTTTGAACCCAAGACCCTTCTCACTGAATCCCTGGAGCTGTTTATTGGGGCTGTGATGACGAACCTGCTGGGTTTTGGAGTTTTAAGGAGGTATTTTGGCGTGAGTGGTTCTGGGTAGTTCTGGGTCGGTGCACTCCCCTGCCAAACAGTCTTACGAGTCTTACATGGATAGTCCATGCATGCTCCTGGTGGCATGACAACTCGCGCCTCAGACCCGAAGAATCATGGGACGTGACCCCCAAAAGAAAGAAACACAGCTAAGGCATGCTAAGGCTATATTATTAGCAAGCCAGTTTGACCTCATTTTACTGGAGATTGTCATACAAAACCAATACATTAAGGGTAAAAAGCAGTTTTTTTTACTGGGTCAGACTGGACTTGTAGGGCTATATTAACTGGAGCCTTGGAGTCTCAGTTCGGGAAAATGGGAGGCCCTGCAGTCAGTCGTACCTTTTTTTGTTCGGGTCAGACGGCCTATTCTCTTTTGGGTAATTAGGACGACCGAAGTAAGTCCGGCTCAGGTAGTTGGAGGTTTATAGACCCTAGGGCTCCTGGCCCACCTCCTCACCACCACCTTCGACCCCGGGAGACGTCGACTTGGAGGCCAACGTCAGCAGAACGCGCCGCGTCCGTCGAACGTCGAGCGGCCAGATGCGGGCTGTCTTGGTTGGACTGTCGGATGGGGCGTTGCGAGGCGAATCCCAAAACTGCCTCTGCCTGGAGTCTAAAGCTTGGGGAAGATGGGCTGGAGTCTTGATCCATTCCCTGGATCCTTTACTAAGCATGAATCGGTTGTTTGCCATTTGACTGGGACGCTTCTAGGGTTCTCCCCCCCTGGCAAGACGATGGTTCCAAATCCCAGGCCTCGCAAAGAGGTGGGGCATCCTGACACCGGGGCTGGCGCCACGCGACGGCTTTCGGTCGGTCACGCCGAACCGGTCCATGGGACTGCCATATATGCCGCCCCATTGGCGCCCGAAACCACCCCTATAGGCACATATGGCACATATGGAGCATCTGGGTATTGTATATAGATCTTCCGACTATGCAGCATGTCTGCCGAACTCGGCTCATGTTCTAGCTGCAAAGGCCACCATGTTGCATGCAGTCGGAAGCTCCAAAACGGTCTGTCTGTTTCTTGGGATGGCAAGATCAGGGCCATTGGGAGGACCAAATGATGACACATCAAGTAAGGTACCGAAGTAGCACACACACAACATCAATTCCGATGCACAACATCAACACGTCCGGGGATCCACCCGAGAGTTCCCGAGCCGAACGACCGGTCGTGCACAAAACGTCCTCGTCTCCTTCTGCGGATGGGAATCGATCCGGGTGGATCGATCCGGACAGAGCTTGGAAGTTCCTCTCTTGGATATTTGGCAGTTGGTTTTCGTGTTCTTTTTTAGGTACCAGCAGTCACAAAGGGCTGCGATCCATGGAGGTTAGGAATGCCCAGCTACTCCACTCACTGGATGGGACTAAACACCACCCCGACATGTGACTCCTGGTATACTGTAAGTTGTTTTGCCGATGTTTTACGGTAGAAAGAACGTCGTCTGTTGGACCCGGTGCGTGCTTCACCCTGCGGGCGGAGGTCCGGTCCCGACCCTCCTGACCATATGCAGGTCCCAACACCCGGCGCGGATCCCAGAACAACACCCGCGCGCAGACTCTATATGATGCTTTTATGGTTTTAGTCTGAACCACTCGTGACCGACGATCCTGGTGTTCACAGATTCCTCCTTCCCACCTGCTTCTGTGAAAAGACCTTCCATGAGACCCTGACAAGTTTCAATCCCACATGCTCCCAATGCACTGAACGCAGCTCTGATCCAATTTCGGTTGTGACCAAGGATCGCACAGCATGCATTGGGTATCTCATATTGCCAGTAACTGTGGATCATGATGCTTAGTTGAAGGCCATGAGTGACAATCCGTTATGGACCGTTGGTCATAGGAGAGACCCAAAGTATGCAAAGGACGGAGTCGCACAAAGGACGAAGGCCCGATTGCCCTTCGCTCCCGCCGTTGTGGGGAGCGACCCCACACCGGTGGACCGACTGAGCTGCATCAACGGGCTACTGGTCATGATACTGAGCCGTCCGTCTTTCTCGGCCAAACCGAGAAAAACCACCGGGACCTTCGAGCTTATTCACTTTCCGTTCGACCATTCTAAGAAGGTTGACCCGGTATCAAGAGCTAAATACAAATGTATACTGTATACAAATGTATACAATATACAGCAAACACCATTGCAATAACTGGTATGTGCAGGTTACTGATTTGTTGCCTTGAGCTGCCTCAAAACCGTTTAAAAAGCAGTGGTCCAAAGAGACCCCTATACCTTGACCCTCGCGACCTCTTGAGGAGCACGAGGTCACCAGACTGAACACCCTGTTTGTTTGAGTTTTATGAGTAGAGTATATACACCCTAGGGCTCCAACCATATCCTCAGAAGGTGGTTAGACCCCCCACAGCCTTTGGGATAGTGTAGAGTATACTTATACCTTTCCCAAATGCGAAGTCCGGACCCTCCGTACAGGAGGCCGGACCCGGGGTTCCTCTGGAAGGGGCCTGGGGCTGTCGAGCTCTGGAAACTGGCACGACCGGTGGAGCTGCGAGTCGTGTGGTTCGCGAGTCGTGTTTAACTTATATATCCCAGTGGGTCAACGCACCAGTTTAACCAGTTCTTTAGTAACGCACCAGTTTAACCGGTGCTTTAGCAAAACTGGGGCTGGAAGCTTAAAAAGGCCGTGAAAAAAAAACATGAAAAACCCATGAAAACAGGATGAAAGGCCGTGAAAAACCTGTGAAAATTAGGTCTTGGAAGTTGGGAGGTGAAATGCGTCCTTTATGCTAACGCACCAGTTTAACCCGTCCTTTGGACTTGCTGGGTATATTAAACATTACATAGTGCATGCGCACACAATGACCCGGTATTCTCCGGACCTGAAAGTCCTCGCGCTTGCGCTCCTGGCGGTGGAAGGGGGTTTTGCCTGATAGGTCGTTAGATTATGTTATATGTGTTTTTTGCTTTGAAATCGCGGTCTGTTATTTTTCAACTGAAAAAGGGTGGGCCAAACAAACATAGACGAAACAGAGTTGGTTAATCGTGTCATTTCCCTGGTCCACTCTTGCGCTGCTCGAAGTGAAGGAGTTTTACGCTGAAGGAAGTGGGAGGTGAATCCGTCACGTACCGATTCCGTCTTGGAGCTTCTGATCTGAGGAAAGTTGCAACCTGGGAGTCAAAACTCGGTTTTCTTTTTCCATGCGTATACTGAGAATCTCTGAACCAAGAAGTTTAAGGGTGAGGATGAGCAGACTGAAATAGAATTAGAGGCACTTTCAACTTGCCCGAAGCTGATCATGTTGGGCTATGCGAGATCTTATATATTCTTCGGAAGAGATTGGACCAAATATCAAAGGACTCATCAATAGTGATTGCAGGCAGGCTGTAATCGCTCAAAAGCCAGGATGCGGGAAGCTTGACAACCAAAACAAATATGCTTCTTTGACCCTAGCATTGCATCCTGCCCATCCAGCTCTTTTCCATCACCGAACTTGCTTCTCTGATGCACTTTGGGTCAAACCCAACCACCGCGATCTTCCAGCTTTGCCTCAACTCAACTGATCTTGGCTTGGTGGCCCTTGGAACTACAATGGCCTGAGGTGTGCCAATCCGCAAATGACTGGGTTCGACCCATCTTTTGGTGCAAAGGCCAGGAGCACCACGGCCACAGTTTGGTCGGGTGCATCTCAGGTTCAGCCTTTGCTCTGCTAGCGCTTTGGGCCAAGGCTCTGACCGGAGAGTTCTGGTGCATCTTTATGTTGGATGATGGAAAACCTGTCTCAGTCGCTGCCCATTCTGTTCCTCTCAATTGTGATTGCAAGGACCAAACAATGAGCTGGGCTTCTTGGAGTTCGATCCCCTTACTGTAATCCAAAGCTGCGGATGGTTTTTCGCCGAGAAAGCTATGTCAAACTCCACTCTTCAGAGCAAGGAAAACCGAGGGAATTGGGACACCTCAAAGAGAACTCGAGATTTATCCCCCAAAAAGCTTCGCTTCATTGCCAATGTCTCAATCTGTCAATTGTATGAGGTAGATGGAACAGTGAGTTCCTGTCAATCCCGTCTTGCAGAACATGCATTCCCAAGCCATCCATCGGACTGGAATAGTAACTTACATGGATGGGGCCCATTTCATGGCAGTCGCATGCGGAAAAACTTGCCCGGGATTGGTCAAAGTCAGATGCTGAAGATTCATGACACAATTCTACTCTCAGGCTATCACCCTTCTATGGTTTTCTGTGGGGTGGGGGGGGAACTGACCATGATTCCGACCTGAGAGGCGCCTAAAAATGAACTGGCCCAACCACGGATGATGGTCCCCAAGGGTGTCTGGGCTGTTGAGCCAGTTGGTGAAAAAGAACGTCTTCAACCCGTCAGGTTTCTTGGAAAACTGTGAATACAGACTGAAACACCTGGAGTTTCCCACCTGGGCGTAGCTGGTGGCCGATCCTTCCTAAGGCCCGACCCTTTCTTGGGAGCCCAAAAGCACAGACGTTGGCACAGTGAAACCAGATCATGAGATCGCCGAGGAGATTGAGATGTCTGGTGCAAACGTCACCGGCATTTGCTCCACTCATCTGGGTGTCATGTTTGGGGGCTATCAAACTTCAAACCCCGGAGGTGATGCAGTTTGCAGGGAGGTAGAATCTCATTAACATCAAGCATATCAATCAATTGGGTATTAGTCAGCAAAGAGGTTGAACGCGCGCAACCTCATGAGCATCGCCGATCAACCCGTTTTGACCGTGTACTGAGATGAAAACCACCTTAAGCGAGGGAAAAAAATATAGAGCTGGGTATGCTTGTTGAGACCAGAAACAAATGGAATAATAACAACATATAAATTTAGATATAATAACACACACACCAAAAAAATACTCACTAATACTTCGGTTCACACCCATCACACACACAAAATAATGGTTCATCTGGTTTCCATGTCACTGCTGCCTGGTACTCCAACAGTTCTCATCCTTCCCCAGCTTCCTCCTAACATTACACAGCCACTCTGCGTACATTCTCCGCCCCATGCCTCAGTGCGTCACCGAGCCGCACGCGCGGGTGACGCGTGCCCCGGTGTCGCTCAGGCTTTGCAGCGGCCGATGCTCATGCCCTCGCAAGACTCATCTTCCACGACGCACACCTCACCCTCCAGGCCTCGTTTTTTGCACGAGAAAAGAGACGGAGAAGCGCACAGAGAATGCCATGGGCTGGGCCGCTGAAACCGGCTCAAGAAAATGGACACCGTGCATGAGCTTCATGAATCTTCAAAACTAACAAAATAATTAACATACTCTTGCTAGGAATAATATGGAAAAGTATCCAGCACCACCTGCAGAATTGGACCTCCCATTGTGTGAGTACTACGAGTTGTACACTGTGTCTGTTGAAGGTCTTATTTGGTTTTCCCAAGAACTCCTCCATCAACCCAAAGGGACAGGAGAGTATCTGATCTTTTCTGCACTCATCATACATATATATATAATTTAAAAATATATATATTATATATTTATATGTAAGTTTGTTTGAAATTTAGCTTCCTAACAATGCAAAGCAACAGCGAATAATGGATCATCAAGGCTTACAACACCACATGTCACAAAAAACATGCCGGCCTTCATCAGTCCCACGAGAAGGTACGAACGAATGTCTCTCAAGATTTATACCTAAAGTCGATCGGTTCGTACCTTGGAACTAGGGTGTTTCATCCCCTTTTTCAGAAAAACGCCTCGGTCTCGTCGAATTTCTGAAGAAAGAAACCACCCAGCCAGCCAGCCAATCAGCGACGGTCGTACAACACCCTTTTTCAGCAGCTCCAACCGAAGAACACCGACACAGTCTCTCCCGGCGTTCGGGACATGTATCCAAGGCTATCACAGTGTATTTTATGTACAAGAAACACAGTGCATCACAGTGTGTGTCAGTTTTTCTTTACAAAACAGGTATCCCAGTCTATCATCCGGGGTATCTAGTGTTGTATGCGGACAAAAACCGGACCCTCGATTCTGCCGTGTGACCAAGGCCCTCGGGCTGACAGCAGAAGGTGTGGCAAGAGTGGGTGTCCTGCATGTTGGTGACGAATTGGCTGTGGTTCTAAGCCATCAAAGGCCATCCCAACCCACAGGTACAAGGAACATGCGGAAGAAAAGGTGTGGGTGGTGGATGAGTTTCAATCCCTTTTCAAGGCCAAATCTCAAGACCACCCACTGAGTTGGATAGACTGAGTGGGATAGACCGAGTTGGACTTCGGAGTTCTTCGGAGTTCAACTTACCAGCTGTGTCACTTTGCCGCTGCGCCGCTCCGGATGTTTTTCAGGGAACCCCTTCTTCTTTTGGCCCTACATGTTGGAGCACCGCTTGAAACAGTTGCCTCTGCTTCTTACCTTAGCTACCTTGGGGCCTGGGGGGTATTGGTACATCATAATAGTTTGTATGGTAAATCCACAAAAACCATCAGCAAACAATATTCACAGGGAGAAGAAATGTTGTTCCGGATCGCCTCCAAGAAGAGACACCCCACAGGGGCACCTTGCATTACAGTTTGGATCCAGAGTGATCAACAACCTTTTCAACCTATAGATCTTTTCGTTTGGTCCATAGACGGGGCAAACACACACTCCAAAAAAGAGGCAGGTGCATCACGGCGATGGGCGATGGCTTCCTCTTCTTTTACGTCCGGTGTCAGAATCGGTCGTTCAAGGGGAAAGCACCGCCCCACTGGTGGGGCGGAGCGACTTGTTTTTCGCTCGGTGTCTGGAAACTCCCAAAAACCCTTCGAGTCGCTTCGAGTCTGGCCTCGCCAACCTTCACGCTCCACCTTGGGCTTACGAACTCAAACGGGGGCACAGACCTGCTGGTTCTTCGATTCTCACCGCCAGAACCATCACCACCATCACCCATTCCCTCGGAATACAGGTATGGCATAGAACAAAAACAAACATGATTCAGGATCATCCAATGGGTGTCCAATAAAGGTCCATAAGGAGTGTGTGAATTAGTCTATTGGGGACCTCTGCAAAAGCACCGATATCAGCTACATCCGCTGGGCTACAGCTGGAATCATATAATTCTTTCATATTCTTTCAGTGCCTCGGAACATGAGTACTTTGCAAAATTGTACAAGTACCTTTTTCTATAGGGTCAGGTCATGTCAGGTCCCATTGTCTAGGGCTCGTCTCGAGGGGTCCAGGTACGTGTCATCCTCGAATGAGCTCATGGTCATTAACTTCAGTTGATGCCAACAAAAATACTTATATAATTATGTGTAAACAAACACTTTACAACTCATAGAGGCGCTCGAACTCCTGCCTGAGTGGTTATCAAACCTCAGCAGAAATTCGTGGCCTATCCCCCAAGAATCCTTGGGATTCTGCTGCCCATGAGCAAGACTTGCATGCAGGGCGAAGGGGCCCGCCACCTTCATACACATCCTCTTCCCCCCATCCTCTTCCTCGCACTTTCATGTTCTGCCACCCAGCAGCCCGTTGGAGCACTTGCAGCCCTTGGCGGTTTTCCGCACCTGGTTTCCGCGGCACCCAACGGGCGGACCGGAGCGGGATTCCAACACGAAACGGCGACAGGAAAACCAACACAGTCGCCTACGCTGTTTCAAGAAAACCGGAGAAGCGGTTTTGTTAGGACTGAGCAAGCAAATTGATGATGATCTGAGACAAAATTGTCTTTTGGAACCACTATAGTGTATGGATATTATGGATACACTTGGTTACTGGATTCACCGCGTAGGATAAGTATATATGCCCAACATCAAATGATGTGTTCGACCCTTTTATGTCGGTGAGTTGTGAAGGGCCCAGTCGTACCTTCTCACATAGTTGATGTTAATTGGTTATGATGTCATGTTGAAAGCAACATATGTTGCTCTCTTATTAATCCCGAGTACCTA